AAACAAACAAATAAATGTCATTGTGACTTGCTATATTATGATATTTCATTCCATTATGGCATACCAGGTAAACCCTCATCAATCCTACCAATTACTGAACTCCTACCTGTTTTATGGTATTCAATGAACTTTTGAGTTCCATCTCCAAGGTCCTGGATGATAATTCAGATTTCTGTCTGCTCTCCAACTCTCTGTGATTAGAAGTAAAGAAAACACACATAATAAACACACATAATAGTAATAGACATGAATGCATGACAAGAATGCATGACAAATTACATATAGGAGTCCAGGCAATTGTAATTACAACACACAATATAGTGTTCCATTTTATAATTGATTGATTTTAGGATGAGTCTTAGACTTACTGTAAGTATTGTTGCTCTTTTCTATCTAACTGCTCCTTGGTTTTCTCTAGCATCAATTCAGCACTTTTCACTCTGTCTGTTTCTTCAGTCAATGTATAACTAAGCACAGAAGGATATATACAGTATAATTTTGTAACAAAGTAGGGAGGGGGTGCAGCTAACATATTTTGACATTTATGTTGTGCTCAGTGACAAGAGGAGGAAATGTCAAATATTATTGCTTCCCGTCTATTTATTTTCTCTTTGTAATTTTATTAATTGACGGCACCTTTATTTTGAATATCAAGATTTTGTATATATTTGAATTTTCAACATATTTACATTTTAATCTATCATCATACATTTATTATTATACTCTGCACTTACTTAAGATTTCTGATTTTAGCTTCCAGGTTCACTTTTTCTTCTTCTAGTGTAGATTTGCACTCAGACAAACTATCAATTTTCCTGCAAACATAACGGGTATATATTTATAGTTTATTGTTATTGGCTGCAGGTATATATAGCGTATAGATCAATCTCCCACAAGAATGTTACGAGAAATACCTATAAAGCTCAGTTTTGTCCATCTCTAATTTTTTCACTTTGGTTTCTAAGGTGATTCTAGCACTGCGTTCTCTATCAATAAGACGTCGATGATCACGTAAGCTCTCCTGCATCTGTAACATCACACCAGGATCTGTGGCTGTAAAAACAAAAGATGGAGATTTCAATGATACAACCATTTGCAAATCAGTGTCTTTGAACATGCAGAAATAGAAAACGTTACCACATAAAAATCATTTATATCATGTTGTCTATTGATGTTGAAACATGAATGAAAGATGGATGCCTCAAAACTTAAAATAAATGTGCCATAGTTGCCGAGTCACGTTCACATTTTGTGAAAACAAACAATGTGACCCAGACATGACGGGACACTTGGGATTAATCCGATCTCACTGAGAAATATTTGATGGCTAAAATTTGCCTGAATTGTGGGAAATATTTAATAAATGTTCAAAGTTAAATGCTGTTTAGCAAGTCCGAACACTTGGGATCATTTCAGCTTCTCATTTGTTTGTGTGTTAAAATTTCCAAATTTGCATCTGTTCTATATCACTGCAGGTTGCAGTACTTTGAAATAAAACAAAATCTTGGCAAATCTTTGTTTTTTTGTTTTGTTTTTAATCTCAAGACTTCACCAAAGCTCTATGAATGCAACTTTAACCCTTTGAGTGACAAATAGGTTTCCACGCTCACAATCCAGTGCAAATATTTTCACATTTAGTAAAATTATTATTGGATATTGCTTCAAGTTTTTGATCAAAATGTTTGTCAATTTTTATCAATATTTCATGTCGGGAGGAGATCATTTTGTAGATGGTGCCAAAAGTTGACAATGACACTCAAAGGATTAACAATATCTCCACTCGATTTGTTTGAATGTTAGATGATAATTTATATGACCTTTGACCCCTACCTGAGTGAGTGGTTGGTGATGAGATGGAATGTAGAGGTAATGGTGTTGATGAATAAGGTGAGTGATTGAAATCACCTTCTGTATCCGTGTCAGAGTACGAGAGACCATCAGCGTCTTCCGTCAGAACGCGTTTCCAGCTCTGGATGGAAATTTAAAAGAAATTACTTCAGATGCATGGTATTAACAATAGACCATTTTCTGTTCACTTCTGTTAACTGTGTTATGCATGAAATCGAACGTAAAAACAGGACAAACAAAGCGTTGTAGTTATGACAAACATCACGCAATATTCCCCTGTCAAATATTGGCCTTTCGAAGTGAGCTATGAAATAAAAAAATTCAAATTGAAAATCAAATCGTTTGATTGTTGTGGCAGACGTTCGGTGCGCCTATTTCATGCAACTCGTGAGATCTCGCAGTTGAACAGAAAATCGCATATTGACATGATACAATACAAAATGAATACACTTCCGTAAGTATCAAAGACAGAATCAAAGTCATCAATACAAACAAACAAGTGACAAGTTTATAAAAGAAACTTACAAGGTTATTTGATGCTGGTGTGTATGCACGTTTTGGTGATGGTGATCTTCCTGATGTACTGTAACCAAGGCCACTCGATGCTCTGGAGAAAAAGTAAAACACAGAGAACGAACTGTTAGTGTATGCAGCAAGTTGCAATTTAATTTTTACACCTTTTAAAACAGGGTCAAGCTTTAGGCAGGAGTGTAACGGGAAAAGTCAACACAGCAACACATAAAATAAAATCATTATGACATTGATTTCCCTTGTCAGCTCACCTAACGGGTACTGGTGATGGTTGAGCACTCCAGCTTTCGCTAAAACTATCATCCAAATCTGTGGCTCTATCATCAGCAGCCAATCGTTCCTCCACACTTTTGTTGTACTTCTCTTCCAACTGTTTCCTCTCAATTTCACGCTTTCTCTCTCGCTCTAGCATATCTTCCTCCAACTTCTGTTTTTCCTCCTCCAGTTTCCTCTGCATGTCTTTTCGATGATCCTCTGTTCTCTTCTGGTCCTCCTTTCTTTTTCTTTCCGCTTCTCTCCTTTCTTCGTCCAGTCTTTGTCGGATCTCTGCATTCCGGAGTTCTTCCTCTGCAACTCTTCTTCTTTCTTCATCGTCTTTCCGCTTCCTGTCATCTTCCAATTTTTTCTGTGCTGCTTTTCGTTTTTCTTCCTGTCGCCTCTCTTCTTCTCTTTGTCTCTCAATCTCTTTCAACTTCTCAGTCTGTTTTCGCCTTTCTTCCTCTTCTCTACGATGCTCCTCTTCATCTTGTCTCATCCTCTGCATCTCAACTCTCTTCTGTTGTTCTTTCTCTCTCTCTAAAGCAGCTTTCACTTCTTGCTCTTCTCTCTGTTTTCTCTCTTGTTCATCTCGCTCCCACTGCAACATCCTCTCTTTCTCTCTGTCTTGTTCTTCCTTCAGCTCTTGTTCAATTCTCTTCCTTTCCTGTAATTCATCAATAATATTATTTATTTTAAAAATATCGTATTACAGATTAACATCGTTGATATGTTATTCTGTGTAACCATATTTTTATTAATATTATGGTCATTTATAGAAGAGAAAGATTCTTTGGATTTAGAATTCAACGGATATTAAAAGACATATTGAGAGTGAACACAACACAGATAACAGGGTGAAATGTTAAACCCCAGTTGAGTAGCGCTGATATAAAAGTATTCTCTCTTAGATAACCTAGGATGACAGCACTTCTAAATCCTTACTGCTGAAAATCCAACATTTCAACCCAGAATGTCTATCAATGTGCCACATTACAATCATTTCAAAAGGATATTATTTGTAAGCTAAATGTTGAACTTTCTCAGACTCGCTTAGACAATACTGAACAAGATAAACTTGCAGGAAAAAACTGACAAACTGCCAGACATAAAACAGACACTAAATGCTCAGATTGTCATGTCCCTGTGTCTATTTCCAGTGTACACTGGGCCAATATCTGTCTAAGTTTCAGTTTTCGTTGGTGCATAGACTTTTAGTTTGAAAAAAATTGATGACAACAATGAATAGTTGAAGGACAGCCAACCAATTCATCAGGCATGGCAGTTGCCATTTGTCTCAGTAATTAAGATGAAATACCATAGCAACACACACACAGCTGCAAGTTACCTTTTCAGCTTTCCTTTCTTTCTCCCATTCGCTTTCGGTTTCTTCAGTTTCTTCATCCGAATCAAATCCAGACACCTCATCGTCCTTGTGCACAGGCGTTGTTTGTTTTGCTGGCCCCTTGCCAAGGAACATTACTGTATCAGATTCTTCTGTTGCCTTTGGAGAGGTTTTACTCAGTGGCACTGGTCTTGGAGACATATCTAGTGATACACCGCGTGGTGTACTGGCTGCACTACCACCTGTAAAGAGTTACAGAATATATGAACATTCAATGGTCAATGATGGCTAGATCAAGTAATTTACAAAGCCCAACTGGGAAGGGGCCTGTGGGGCCTTTATTTTAGTTCTTATAAGGCACATGTCACATGTTTTGAAAAACAAGATGTAGCCATCCCAAAAGGTGACGTGTTTGCTCTATTAGCAGCACATGTGCTTATGTAAATAAATTATTAAACTAATTTGCATAAATGGACGAGTGTGAATTGTGTACTTAAAGATCAAACAATATTTTGCTCATATCCACTTTAGTTGGAGATGCACTGCTAATACAGTAGCCAGAATACAAAAATAGCATTTATAAATCAAACAAGAGATATTACCAAGCTTTACACAGCATTAGTAGATGTGAATTACAGTAGTATAATAGTAAATTTTTTACACCTACCTCTTCTATTAGATGAATGTGAGGGCAGCAGATCTTCATCTGAATCCCAATCAAAGTCACCTGAAATAATAATAAATACAAAGTGTTTGAGGTCAATTTCATTCGGGTCTCGGAAATAGAATATGAAATAGTATGTATAAAACTTTGCACTCTGAGATTATTTTTATTGGGGTGTAGGACTATAATATAAAATATTTGATGGTGCAAATAAAAAGTACAATGTATGTAAAAAATTCAAATTTCCACTCTGAGGATAATGTTTGATAGGTTTATGGAAGTATTGGGACTCATGTATGTTGTCAAATGAGCCAGGAATTGGAATCAGCAGTTAAAGCATTTGCAAGTTGTTTATATCAGAACCTGAATGACTTATTTTTTTATCTAGAATACCTAAAATGTGATACTGTTCAAAATCCTGCTTTAGAACATGCTCAACACAAATGTACCATGTTCGCTAGGATGCAGTGACAACGAATGCTATGAAAACTTGTGGTGAAAAGGTTAAGTGTGCAATTCGAATGACTTATTGACGCTGTCCTAAGCTGCTGAAAATTCGATCACATCCAAATCAACATAAACGCTAGGTGATGTTCGGCCGTTTGCCGAATAGATCATGGTTGTTTGTTTTTCTCCTGACTTACAATGCAATTAGTGAATTTTTGATATATAGTACTTGCACTAAAAATAGGAGAGGCTAAAAGTATTGACTGATACTTAAAAATACTCACCATCATCTTGATCTTTGGAGACATTGACCTTGAATTCCACAGGTGTATCCTCTGTTACACTCTGCTATAACAGATAATAGCACAATCAACATTAACACACAATCATTATTGAGATTTTCCCCCTCTTTCAGCTCAAACCAGACCAATTAAACAACAGTTTTGACAAACTTCATAATAATTTATCAGAATATCAATAATGACAAATAAATTTACCCGACTATTTTTCGAGAAAACTTCATGTAAAACAGCTAAATTTTATCTTAATTTCTGCATTAGTTTCTATGGTAATAGCCTTCATGTACCAACATTTTGTTCGCTAACATTGATTGAAAAAGTCATACACTGTATTTACATTATTAGAAGCACATTCCCAATAAAAGTGCATGTAAACTAACAGTTGCATTTACTGTGTACTGTGACTATACACACACTTCTGTCATTTACGTAAGAACATGCACTACTAATAGAGCAAATATGATATATCATTATTGATATCAACTGTCATTTAATTTATTGAGTTCCCAATGTTATGGTACACATGTCAATAACATGCTCAGTAAATCCACATGTACATGTATATTTGAATCAACTACATTTTGTTTACTTTTACTTACAGTGTTTCTTTTCACGGTGGGATACTCTGCTACTGTTGGTGATTTGGGTTCATCATGTTCAGATTCTATAATGCTAGTATCCCACTGTGAATCGTCAAAGTCGTCAAGTCCAAGTTCAGCAGCGAGAGCTAAATAAAATGATAAGACGTTAAAATACCACTCTGTGAATAACGTTTTAATTCTGCAATATGTGAACTACACATGTTGTTAAAGTCAAATACATGTGTGAGTATCCACCTGTGTTATGTTGAATCATGTTCACCATGCTCCCTGCGCTAATAGGCCCATGCATATCGTGCCTGTCTGGAAGTTTAGAACATAAACAGCCCTCAATCTGTTTTACTGGTGACCAGGTGTTAAATTTTATTAACCTAGAAAGATTAATTAGCCAGGTGTATACATTTTTTATTTAACAATGTTTGACTAGCAAGACGCATTTTAGTGGCCAATTTGAATGATTCCGAAATATTGACCCAGCATGTTAAAATTTGTATTTTTGCTAGAAAGAGAGTAATTCATGCCAGATAGAATGCTGTGTAGTATATATAATTCCCCCTGTATAGTGCATGTAATATATTAGTGAAAAAAACAATTATTTTTTTCGCAACCATTAAAGTACAAAAATATGTACTCTGCATTTGAAAACCATAATTTTTCTGCAAATTTCCATTTTTCTATAATTTCTTTGTTAATCATACCCCAAATGGAAATAATAACGGATAAAATACATCTTATTTTGTAAATGCTGGCAAATGTTCAGTTAAGAAATAATACACTAACCATCAAGAGCACAGAAACACAAAGGCTTTAGTTGTAATTGATTTTTGTCTGGACATGTTTTTGTAGACTGGATTGAATTTATTTTTATTAATAAAAAAAGTCAATATACTCACCGCTTTGTTTGTTTTTCTTCTCGTCTGCCATGTCTGGATCATTTGCTGGCTTTGCAGATTGTACTTGAGAATTAAAAAAAAAAAGAGATTAATTATTCAAATTATTATAAAGCACTATGCCACTCAAGCACAGAGAGTAAGACTGTGCAAATTACAAGAAACACATAGAGGTATTGATTTGTCTGTAAATGCTCAGTGAGTGTGAACATAACAAAAAAACAAACAAAAGAAGCAATTGTAAAATCAATTACCAAAACTGTGAATTTAAAAGGAAATGCAGCCTTTTACATCTTCAGTGAGTGAACGAAATGAATAAGTCTACAACTACTAATCAATTGCATCAACTCATGCCTAATTTGCATAACAGAAGAAATGTATATCACTGCAAGTTATCAAGTCAAGCAAATGTACATCGTATAATACAATATTAAACACAATAAAAGAAAATCATTATTTTTACTCCCAAATATACACTCAAAGATCATTCCTATAGCTTTATTATAATATTGAGACCAATATTATGTGACATATTTCAGGGAAGGAATATACACAAAATGTGAGGATATATTTGAGGATATGCCCTAAGTTGCAAATTCAGCGAAAGAAATTCAAACAAAAAATGAAATTAACCTTCTTACCACTAGCTCCTCTTTTCATCACAAATGCACAAAATAGTCGTGATAATAGTATATAGTCGTTCACTTTCTTTCAAAAGATTGGGACAAAAATAGCCATATTTTTTGAGTAAAAACTGAACATTGACTCAAATTTTGTCTGTTGGCTCCAAAATTAGGATTCATAGAATATAAAAAAAAAGTGGAGAAAAACCTAGCCAAGGAAGTCTGGTGTTGAAAAGGTTAAAAGCTGTAATGCTTACTAACATTAGTATGTGTTGAAAATCATTGAAATATGAACATTTACAACATATTTTGCTATAGGAATGAACTTAGACTTAAAAGGCGAAAGAATACTTAATATTACAACATAAAACATAAACCTGCATTTCTTGTTAATTAACATAGAGCAAACATGTATAGATTTTTGCACAAGTGAGATATGTAAACAATTACTGAATTTCAAGAAATAACTGAACATTTGTGCTATTGTCACATGTCCTGAATAACACAATGCATGCCCACACTTAAAGGAGTATGGCAGTTACAGTTTTATTGAAAAGGTGCCAACAAATCAGCTGTTATAGATATATATATATACTCTGAGGTCTATAAATTGAAAAGCAATCAAGTGTATGTCTCATGACAGGCCAAAGCAGAGGCAGCATTGTGACGATTCTACACATTTACCATGGTAAATTAATTTACGGCACTATTGTTACTTTGTACATTCAAGTTGTAAGTATCTAACACACAAAATCCCCCACAGAACATGATTGTGAATGACTTCATAACGACAACGAAATTAGTTTGACATTGTGAAACCGGAAATAATTACAGGTTCATTTCAAGTTCAATGCTGACACTTGCACTAAGTTGATCGTTTGGTTTCTTTTAATTTTATTTGTTAAAAAAATCTTGTTTTATTAAACTCAGGTTGTAACACTAAATTTCAATGCTTACTTACTAACTAGTTATTTAAAAATAAAATAAAAATGCAATATAACAAGAAATAATAATTATGCAAACACCAGACCAATTAACATAAATAATTTTTATGTCAGGTGTAAAACATTGAAATAATTGTTATATGTATTATTAGAAATTAACACTGATAATAAAATAACATGTGATTATATTCTCAGAAACTGAAAACATTAAACCTCAAGGGAATATTTTCAACTGTTGCAATGATTAGCAGACAGTTAAAGGCAGTAGCCGCGAACAATAAATCCATGAACAATGGTATCACATTGGCCATGTAAATAACCATTCTCACATTACAGTACTTTACAAACACAGTGCAACTGAATTAATGCATGACATAGAAAATGTTGTAGGGTACCTACCTTGGCTTGCTTGATCTCCAAGGCCAGTATCAGGCTGAGCAAGAAAAAGTAAGTATATGATTGTGAATTAGTTGAAATAATACATAAAAACGTGCTGGGACAAGTTGCAAAGCTATGGATGGCACAGTGTTATGAAAGTCGGACAAGTTGAGCTGTCAGTAGAAAAACACTCCAGATTTTTCACTCCAATGTAAAGAACAAACAGAAGAAGAGACATGTTGAAGAATCACTGAAAATTTAACTGCTAGCGGTATTTTGCAACTGAAATGCTTACCCAGCAAGGAGCGTGGAGTTGCAGTGGTTGTAAATAGTGGAGAGAATGTACACAGGTATTCCCAGGCAATGAATGGAACTCATTAGCATGTCATTAGCATATTCCAATAATAGAACACCTAAGAAGAATCTTTAACTGCCACTGTCTGAACTTTGAACTCTGGAGACAGTGTTCCATGGAATATTTTTTTACAGGAGTGAGTTCTATGGAACATTCAAAAGTTCACTGACATTCTGACTTTCAATTTCTGGCATGCATAGAGAATACTGCTGGCAAAATAGCTGTACTTTAACTAATAATTTTTTGTTTTCATTTTTCCTAATTCTACTACAGAGAAAAACGTCCAGTGACCACAAAACAATTGTCACCATTTTTTTTATCATTGATTTTGTATAAAAAAATTGACTGTTCTCTTTTGTTTTGTGAAATATTGATCTATCTTCACAGAGATATTATTTAAATCCTTTCATTATATTCAATTGGCTCAGTTTTTCAATTTTTCTACCAGTATTATGTTTTTAATATAAAAAATCTGATTGAACTATAATCTTGTGAGAAAATGAAAGTAAAAGTAAAATCAATTTGAAAATAGAACACAAAAGTAATTGAATTGCAGTAAATCAAATTATAGAAGAAAAAAAAGAAAAAAAATAAAGAAAATACTAACTTTTAATTTCACTATTTTGAGTTTTTGAGCATATTCACTGTGTTTCCATTTCACAAATTTGTCAAGCAAACAATGAGTTTTATTGTTATTTTACATGTTCACATAGATTTAATTTAGCAGATTTTAAACTTATCAGCGAAATAAAAACCCAATCAATAATTTAATGCATTTACAGTACCATTTTTGATGCAGTAATATTGCATTTAAAGAGAATAAATCATTTATAATTATGAAAAAAATTATTATTTATAATATGCAAAATATTATGAGACAATTATATGTAGTTTCATACAAAATGAGAAAAATAGTGCTGAATAAATAATTTTATACAATATTAATTGTTGAAGAGACTTGTGGTCAGTGCTACATTGATGATTTTTTAGTCAGTGTAAACGAATGTTCAACAGTACAACTATAAAATACCCATTAAACTGCAAAAGTCTGAAACACATAAAATCCTTAAAATTTAGAAATTTTTGAATATTGATATAAATGTAAATATTGATATAAGAAAATTGCAAATG